TGGCCCGAACCTGGGTAAACCGCCGTGTTCTTCCTTCTTCCCGTTCGCTCGAGTACGTCGGAGCATCGCTGTGAGGCAGTGAGCAACATGTCGTAGCCTAGCCAAGTCCTTCGCGCACACCTAGAGTTCGAACCTTTCTTTGGGTCTGCAGAGCCCCGATTCCGACAATAATGTTTTTTTGTTGTTTAGTTGTGGTACCGACTGAAGGGGAGCCTTGGCGCAGTGGTAAAGTTGCCGCCTTGTGACCATGAGGTCATGGGTTCAAGTCCTGGAAACAGCCTCTTACAGAAATGTAGGGAAAGGCTGCGTACTATAGACCCAAAGTGGTCGGACCCTTCCCTGGACCCTGCGCAAGCAGGAGCTACATGCACCAGGTTGCCCTTTTTTTAGTTGTGGTACCGACTACCGAGTGCTCCATCAAGTGCTTGCACGTGTTGACCAATTTAGCTGCTAGAACCCACTAGCCATCCTGCCACTTGAGAGGTCACTGTAATGTGCAAGAGCATTTGACATAGGAGCATGTATTTGGTTGCCTCAACAGATAGTAGTACAAGAGTTGTGCTGCCTGTCACATTGACCGATACCATAACTCTGCAATGAGTATATTTAAGCATCTCCACATCAACAATCACTGTTTTTTGGCTGAAAATATCACAGAAAGGATGGAAAAACATACACATGTGTAGTGTAGTACAAGAAGTGAGGAGAGTGGGCAACAACTTTTTGCAGATAAAGGAGGGACAGTATGGCCCAAGGGAAAGTAGAAACTGATGGCACAGTGGATAAGCGTGGTTCAACACTCATACTTGGAGTGGTGGAAGAACTACCTCTAGGCAGGAATCAAGAATTGCTGCTCCCTCACCGGCAACATGCAATGGCTAGGCATCTGGCTACAGGCAAAGCAAAGTGGCTCAGGAAGTCGGAGGGAGCATTCAAAGAGAAGCGGAGCAAGACACCACATGGTCGATAGATATAGTATTTACTACAGTGATTATCAATGTAAAGCTTTGTCATGAATTGCAGAATTTGTATGTCAAAATGCCCCATGCTAGATTTTCATATTTACATGGTAATTAGTGATGGATCCCAATGACTGTAACTTGTGTGTCAAAGTCATTCAGATTCTTGATTTACCATTCTACTCCCTTCGTTCCTAAATATACCCAATGACTTATATTTAGGAACGGAGGGAGTAGATAACATGCAAGCAATATTTGGATTTCATTTCATTTTAGAAATCCAAACCACAGCCAAACACAAGTATTAAAGATGGAATCCATTTTTACTAATGACGTCCAGAATAAATGGTATTTGAATTTAACTTAATTCACCAAATTGAATTCACAGCTGCCAAACAAGGTGTGAGTGAAAACGTAAACTTGTAATTGTAAAATTCACCAAGATTATATTTGTTCATACGCAAGAGATGCAAGTGAGTCCGCAACTCAGCAATCATTAAGAGTCAAAAAGGTTGACACAGTTCAAAATTCAACCCTACCACAAGTGATGATTAGCTTATATGAAAGAAATTGCTATTTCCGAAGCATATGAACTAGGATGGGATACTAAATATACGTTGTAGCAGCTATTGCAGACACATAAATGGGGGAAGTTTGCCCGTGATCAAATTAGCCTATGTTGTCTCTGTCCCAAGCCCGGGTAAAGGAGGGTTGTGATAGGCTTGGCGAGCCAACGTCAAAACTCAGCCACTCTCGACAAGTGCGAAGGGTAAGGAAGCTAGCCGAGCCTAGGAGGATCCGCTTAGGTAGCTGGAACATAGGGTCCCTGACAGGTAAGCTTCAGGAGCTAGTTGATACAGCGGTGAGGAGAGGTATTGACATCCTTTGCGTCCAAGAAACCAAATGGAAGGGACAGAAGGCAAAGGAGGTGGAGGGTACCGGCTTCAAGCTGTGGTACACGGGGACGGCCGCGAATAGAAATGGAGTAGGCATCTTGATCAACAAGAGCCTCAAGTATGGAGTGGTAGATGTCAAGAGACATGGGGACCGGATTATCCTGGTCAAGCTGGTAGTTGGGGACTTAGTTCTCATTGTTATCAGCGCGTATGCCCCGCAAGTAGGCCACAATGAGAACACCAAGAGGGAGTTCTGGGAAGGCCTGGAGGACATGGTTAGGAGTGCACCGATTGGCAAGAAGCTCTTCATAGGAGGAGACCTCAATGGCCACGTGGGTACATCCAACACAGGTTTTGAAGGGTGCATGGGGGCTTTGGCTATGGCATCAGGAATCAAGAAGAAGATGTCTTAAGCTTTGCTCTAGCCTACGACATGATAGTAGCTAACACCCTCTTTAAAAAGAAAGAATCACATCTAGTGACTTTTAGTACTGGTCAACACTCTAGCCGAATTGATTTCATCCTCTCAAGAAGAAGACAGACGTGCATGCCTAGATTGTAAGGTGATACCTGGAGAGAGTGGTGTCCCTCGGCATAAGCTTGTGGTGGCTGACTTCCGCTTTCGGATTCGTGTCTAGCAGGATAAGCGTGCCAAAGTTGCTAGAACGAAGTGGTGGAAGCTCAAGGGGGAGGTAGCTCGGGCGTTCAAGGAGAGGGCCATTGGGAGGAAGGAGGTGATGCAGACAATATGTTGACAAAGATGGAGACTTGCATTCGTAAGGTGGCCTCAAAGGAGTTTGGAGTGTCCAAGGGAAGTAGAAGCGAAGCTAAAGATACCTGGTGGTGGAATGATGATGTCCAAAAGGCTATTAAGGAGAAGAAAGATTGTTTTAGACGCCTATACCTGGATAGGAGTGCAGACAACATAGAGAAGTACAAGATGGCAAAGAAGACCGCAAAGCGAGCTGTGAGTGAAGGGGTCAGGCATATGAGGATCTCTATCGGCGGCTAGACACAAAGGTGAAAGGGTCATCTATGAGATGGCCAAGATCTGGGAGACAAAGACAAGGGATGTTGACCAAGTCAAGTGCATCAAGGACGGAGCAGACCAGCTGGTGAAGGACGAGGAGATTAAGCATAGACAGCGGGAGTACTTCGACAAGTTGTTAAATGGGGAGAATGAGAGCTCTACCACTGAACTGGATTGACTCCTTTGATGATACCAGCAGGCGTTTTGTGCGGCGAATCCAGGAGTCTGAGGTCAAGGAGGCCTTAAAAAGGATGAAAGGAGGCAATGCAATGGGCCCAAATTGTATCCCCATTGAGGTGTGGAGAGGCCTCGGAGACATAGTTATAGTATGGCTAACTAAGCTTTTCAACCTCATTTTTCGGGCAAACAAGATGCCAGAAGAATGGAGACGGAGTATATTAGTACCAACCTTCAAGAATAAGGGGGATGTTCAGAGTTATACTAATTACCGTGGAATTAAGCTAATGAGCCATACAATGAAGCTATGGGAGAGAGTCATTGAGCACCTCTTAAGAGAATGACAAGCGTGACCAAAAGTCAGTTTGGTTTCATGCCTGGGAGGTCGATCATGGAAGTCATTTTATTGGTACGACAACTCATGGAGAGATATAGGGAGCAAAAGAAGGACCTATATATGGTGCTCATTGACTTGGAGAAGGCCTACGATAAGACACCGTGGAATGTCATGTGGTGGACCTTGGAGAAACACAAAGTCCCAGCAAAGTGCATTACCCTCATCAAGGACATGTACGATAATGTTGTGACAAGTGTTCGAACAAGTGATGGTGACACTGATGACTTCCCGATTAAAATAGGACTGCACCCGGGGTCAGCTTTGAGGCCTTATCTTTTTGCTTTGGTGATGGATGAGGCCACGAGGGATATACAAGGAGATATCCCATGGTGTATGCTCTTTGGGGATGATGTGATGCTAGTCGATGATAGTCGGATGGGGGTCAATAGGAAGTTAGCTGTGGAGACAAACCTTGGAATCGAAAGGTTTTAGACTTAGTAGAACTAAAACCGAGTACGGAGGTGTTGTTTCAGTACTACTACGCACGAGGAGGAGAATAGCCTTGATGGGCAGGTGGTGCCTCAGAAGGACACCTTTCGATATTTGGGGTCAATGCTACAGAAGGATGGGGATATCAATGAAGATGTGAACCATCGAATCAAAGCCGGATGGATGAAGTAGCGCCAAGCTTCTGGCATTTTCTATGACAAGAGAGTGCCACAAAAGCTAAAAGGCAAGTTTTATAGGACGGCGCTTCGACCCGCAATGTTGTATGGCGCTGAGTGTTGGACGACTAAAAGGCAACATGCGCATGTTGAGGTGGATGTGTGGCCACACAAAGACCGAGTCCGAAATGATGATATACGAGATAGAGTTGGGGTAGCACTAATTGAAGAGAAGCTTGTCCAACATCGTTTGGGCATATTCAGCGGGGGCCTCCAGAAGCGCCAGTTCATAGCGGATGGCTAAACGTGCTGATAATGTAAGAGAAGTCGGGGTAGGTTGCGAGATCTTATGGGTTTCACCTCTAGCCTACCCCAACTTGTTTGGGACTAAAGGCTTTATTGTTGTTGTTATTGTTGTTGTTGTTGTTGATCAAATAAAGATAGAATGCTGGAGCTGGCATGTAACTTAAGCTTTAGAGCCTCTCTTTCTATCAGGAACAAGCCTTATAGTGGGGTAGCTGAGGGGAAGCACAATATCCTCAATCTTTGAGCCCTTATTCACACCCAAATTGATCCATTGTGAGCCAAGGTTCATAACAGAAAGAAAAGCCAGAATATTTCCCAATCTATGTTAGTAGAAGCTGTCAGATAGTCTAACTTTCGGTCTAACTTCTGGAGCACTTCTAGATGGTTTTGCATGTTTTTCGCCTACATCACATGTTAAATTCAATCTAGACTCGTTTCAAAAATAGTACCAACATATGAACGACCAATTGACTAATGTAGAAAAGAATTAAGCCAATCAGCACCCCTACACCACACCTAAATCAAGAATCATCACAACGAAAAACATAAGTCCCAGATGGTCGAGGAACATGCTATTCAACATAACGATACTCAAGTCTAGTAGACTAATAGCAATTCTGCTTCCACAGCTCACCTAATTTTCTTTCTTATAAAGAGATTATATGCAGTACTTTTCAATACCCTATTGCCCTTTATTTCCGATGGGAATATGTATATAAGCAAATGTGTCTCTGTGACACTGTTGCCCAATAAGACAATAACATTAAGCAAATCATGTATCAGAAATTCATCTGCCGAAAATGAAAAAACAGAGCAGGTATATTCCCTAACATTGTTGAAATGTAAGAATCAAATATTGTTTAGCTCACCTGTGAACTTGATATCGCAGGAAAAGCCTTGCATCTCTGCCTTCTCCACCCATGCTTTATCAGACTTGGAACGGTTCGCCCTAGTCTGAAGGATCTGGCAATTCTCAACAGTAGATTCCCCTCCTAAATCCAATGATCAACAGTTAAACTGAGCAGTCTATAATAACTAATGGAAGAAAATCAGAGTCTCAAAGAGAACATATTGTACCACTTCCAGGTACACTGCAAAAGGGCCGCAACAAATATTTACAGACAAACAAGGATTAGGAAAGAGTAAAAGGTAGAAACAACAAATGATGCAAGATGTTCCTGTTTAGAACAAAGCTCATACACCTCAGGAAGTAAAAGATGCAACGATTAATCGACATATTTGGTAGCACAAGTTGTTTGGATAATACTAACTTAAAACATTCAGACATGGGATCCTGCACAAGATATACAATCAAAGCTAGGAATCCTAATATCTTCAGTGTCATGGGTATGCAGGGACGGCTGCAGAAAGGAGATGAGCTCATGTTGTCTTTTGTTTGCCACACATACATCAAATGAGGTCTGTTAGTCATGTAATATTTGGTTTGGTAGGTATGTTATCCTTAGCTTTGTCTGCGGTTATTTCCAACTAATCAAATCCAAACCCACATCCGATAAATTTAAGATTTAGACCCAGCAATGAGCCTATGATATATATCTTAGAATGAAAAAAATAACAGCATTTTAATACACACAAACAAAAAAATGGTAGCATCCACTGTTTCGACAACACTGTTGTCAAAATCCAAACTAGATATTCATCCATTCAGATTTCCGAGCTAAATGAGCAGGTGCTTGGAAGAGTTGGATTCTAAACTCAAAGGTGTATCCGTAAAAAATCACCTCATATGCCCCTGAACTAAACTTACGAGTGTTCAACAAGACACTAACCAGATAAAAAACTAATCAACGTTTTGAACATGCTCACGTGCAACAAAACATGCTCTCTTTTCAGCAATAAAATAAGAAATGTAGTGTTTTCTGGCGGAAATAACAAGCTGACCTTTGGAGAAGGGAATGATGTGGTCGTATTCGTAGCAGAGGCAGCCGTGGCAGCTCCAGAAGCGGCGACACACCACGTTGCCAGCGGCGTCCTGCCGCCACCGCTCTGGGTGTCGCCCTGCCAGCACCGCCGCCTTCCGCCAGCACGCGGTCCGGGTCTTCTCGTCAAAGGACCTTGGCCGCTCCTTCTCCTTCGATTTTGAGCCCGTCCCGCTGCTGCTCGCCTCACCGTCGGATGTAGAAGGCGCCATCCAACTCGACCCCTGTAGCTTTCTCTCCAGCAGTCAATCGTAGAACACGGGTTACGGAGCGCGCCGCCGTTGACGGCTAGGGTTAGGATATGCCGCCGCGGCGTATGGGTGTGTGCCGGAATTGGGTGAGAGGTTTTTTTAGGGGTGGAATCGGGGGAGAGATGGAAGGAAGAGAGAGCGGCAGGGCGGGTTGGGCTGGGCCGATGGGCACATCAGCTGACCGCGCTCGTCCAAAAGAAAAGCTGGCGGCTGGTCCATATCGGTTTTCCAGTTTTCCAAAATAAAGGCATGTGTGCTTCCAAAAAAGATGTGCTTCCTATTTCCATTTTTCGGGTTTTCGTTGTTTGCTTCTGATTTTTTTTGGTTTTTTTTATTTCCGACTTTTTCCCATTACAAGTTTTTCCTCTTTTTTTCTATCTCACAACAAAAATGAAAAAAAAGTTCTTCAAACCTACTAGCATGGAAATAACAAAAAATACATCTATGCTCATAGACACACGAACTAGCGCAACGGAACAGCAAATGTCGGCTTACGTCGCGGATGAAGAAGTATAGATCGAGATGATCTAACTTGTAGACACACGGACAAAGACGAACAAAGAATGGATCCAACCACCGAAGATCATAACCAACCAAACCCTGCGATATCAGCCGACACCGGATGCATCATCGAAACGGGGACTAGGCGGGGAGAAGCTCATTTCATCTTTAGATCTGCTTCCCAAAATAAAGGCACATGTGTGATTCCATTTTTTGGGTTTTCATTGTTTGCTTCTGATTTTTTTGGTTTATTTCCGACTTTTTGCCATTACAGGTTTTTCCTTTTTTTTCTATTTCACAACAAAAATGAAAAAAAATCGTCAAACCTACTAGCATGGGATCTAATTTTGGAGATTTTGATGCGAGAAACGCAACGATGAAAATAGTTTATGATTTGAATGCACGGTTCAAGAGATAAAACATTTTAGAAAAACGGACGAACGAACATAAAACATAAAACTTCCATGTTATGAGAAGTGTTACAGATAGGCTGCACCACTTGTCATCACAAGAGAAGATGAGACCGAAATTTTCAAGGGGTATCCTCTAACTAATGATTTCAACGACAACCACACACACAACTTGGGTAACCTGGTCCACCAAACTAGTCATTCTCACACCAGTGCTCGAAAGAAGAAGAAGTCCAAACCACAAGACCCATCGCAATTCTAACGCCACGACAATCTTGTCACCCACGTGACACAAGATGAATTTCATTATGAATTTTGACTTATAGTCCCTCTATTTTTTATACAAGACTATTTCGGTTTTCATGTTAATTTCCGACTTATAATTTTGGTCAACAAAATATATGTATATGTGATTTAAAATATATCATTGAGAAGTTCTTTGAATTGTGTGCATCCAATGACATGCTTTTTCTGGCATATAACTCACATTTTGTTGATAAAATTAATGGTCAAATGTAGACATAAAAAAAAAGAAGTGACCTTGTATATAAAAACCGAGGGAGTATCAAATTGTTGAACACCGTTGATTCCTACCTTCCCAGTTAAAGGTCTGCATGCAAATTCAAGCATATGGATGACTGGTTTGGCAGTATCATCAGCAATGACTTCGCACGGAGCAGCATCTAGAATTTGATGCACATAGGTGCTTTTTTTTAGAACGAAGGCTCAAGGGGAGCCCGACTTTGAATTAACGAAGCCATCAACCGGCCAGGATTACACAAGGCCACCGAGCAAGAGCGACCGAAAGATACAAGGGAGCTGACAGAGCAGTCTACAACGCAACGCACACTACTGCACACATAGAAATACACATGAAAACCTGCAAGTAATGTCGAAGCCCGCTGCACCTCGGCACCAAGAGCAAGGGAGCAGGGTAGCGAAGGGTCAGCCAAAGACCTGCAAGCACTACGCGCAGCCGGATCGTGGGATTGGGATCCCGAAACCTGTCTACCAACGCCGAAGAAGACCCCAATCCTCTCGCCTAGGCTCGAAGGCGCCGCACCGTCGGGTCGTTGGGCGCTCACCTGAGAGCAAGAGCAGGTGCCGGTCGCAACCCGGAGCAGGCTTAACTCGCAGTCCTCACCACATCGGAGGCACACCATTAGCTGCGCTGCCACCTGCCCGGGCCGCCGAGAACATAAGGAAAACCACTGGGAGGATTGATGAAGAACAGGCTGCAAGGACCCAAGGGCGAAGCTTGGGAAGCCTCTGCTTGGACTCGCCGCCGACGAGCTCTCTCCAACCTCGGCACCACTCACCCGGAGAACCAGACAACCCAAGGCGGCGCCTCCAAGGAGGGAACGACGTGCAGGACGCCGCCACCGCCCAACCTGAGACGAGTTTTGGGCTTTCACCCGGGATCTGGGACGGGGGTGGATACGGGAGACCTCAGCGGTGCCTCGAAGGAGAGAAGGCGATGCGCGCACGCACCCTCACCGCCGTGGTCGGAGAACCGACCAAGGGTTTCCCCCGGACTCGAGATATGCCACCGGCACCCCGCCAGCAAACTGGCAGCGAACGCTGCAGATCGGACACAACCGGAGGGGGAGAGTGAGCAGAGGGGGAGAAGCAGCTCGGCCTTCAGATCTGGATCGGGCACAGCCGGGAAGGCCGCGCCACGACCACCGCCCGCCGGATCCGCGCCGCCCGAGCAGCCGGGGACGCCGGCCGTCACATCCCGCGCACGCCGCCTGTCGCAGAGGCTGCGCCGCCTTGC